TGGGTTATCGGTATCGGGTTATTGGGTTAACGGTTCGGTAACGGTTTGGAATTTTTTTACTATTGGGTTATCAGTTCGGGCTTCGGTTTGCCAATTTTGTTAATGGGTTAACCGATAACCCAATAAGAATTAATAAAATTACAACTTTACCCTTAAGTACATACATATGCTAGGGCTTCAGTTCATTCTCTCCTATTCTTTCTCAGTCGCACTCTTCAGTTGCTTCATCTTCATTCTTCATAGACCTTAATGGGTAGTATACTATATGTGAATTCTTCTCCTTTTTGCTTAACTCCAATGAATTGTCTTCTCTTTTTTTCTTAACTATAGATTGAGTTATCTTATCAGGTAAACCGATAATCGAACCGATAATGATCGATAATCGATTAACCGATAACTGATATCTTATCGGTTCGGTTATCGGTTTATCATATTTGTAAACCGATAACCAATATGCTAAACCAATAATATTCATAACCGAACCGAACCGACCGATGCCCACCCCTAGGCACAGCTGGTACTTGAGCTGGTGCTGCTGGAGCGTCAACAATTGGGACTTGATCCTGAACTGGGGCGGCTGGTGGATCTGCAAGTGCTGCCCTAGCTGTTGTGCGGGCTACACCCCTGCCCCTACCACGGCCTCGACCGCGTCCTCGGCCTCTAGTGGCCCTAATTGGTGGTACTGGTGGTCGTCCATCCAGATCGGTAGCACGTTTCCTCACCATCTGTGAGATAATAAAATAACAAAAGTTTAGTACTCGGATCAATAGATTCGCACGACAAGAATTTCAAGAATATGAAGTTTTCCTAAAGGTTCTTTAGCCTCCCAAGGAAAAATACAGACGTCTCCGTACCGATCCGCGAGACTCTACTAAACCTGCTCATGACTCGTGAGACCTATGTAACCTAGGCTCTGATACCAACTTGTCACGACCCCAAACCAGACCCGGCCGTGATGGCGCCTCTCGTGAAACAAGGCCAGCCGACACATACCCTTAAACCATTTAAGACAGTTATAATATTTGATTGTAAGTCATAATTAAACGATAAATCCCAAAATAAAGAGTGAAATAGAACAATTGCGAAAACAACACAGCCCGACATCGAGGTGTCACCAGTCATGAGCATCTAAACATCCGTCTAAGAGTATGAAAAGACTACATAGTCTAGTAAAAAGCTAGTACAAGGAAAGTAAAGATAGGAAGGAGAAGCACTGGGTTGCGAATGCCGAGCAGCTACCTAGTGAACTCCGAACAGCCTGCTGGAAGCAATCAGCCCTCGCTAGCGTGACCCGAGGCTCCTGAATCTGCACACAGGGTGTAGGGAGTAATGTGAGTACGCCAACTCAGTAAGTAATAAAAGTAAAGGCAGTTGAGCGATAAGAAAACACGTAGAACACAGCAAAATGCTACAACGAGGCAGTATAAAATTAGAACAATGCAGTAAAACAGTAAGAGCTCGTAGAAACACCTTAGTTCAGTAAAAACTTCTTTGAAACATCTTTTAGCAGTTCAAATGAGCGAATGAAAATAGGGAGAAAAGATAGAAACATAAATCATCCCCTCGGGCAACATACCAATAGAACCAGCCCCCCCGGGCTATCTCACAATCACTCTTATCAGCCCTTCAGGCAATAACATGGAACAACATTAGCCCCTCCGGCTATATCACATCTGGCACTGGGTACCCGCGCTCACTGGGGGTGTACAGACTCCGGGAGGGGCCACTTACGGCCCAAGCGCAATAACAAGCCATCTTGTGGCATATTCAAACAGGCTCCCGGCCTCATATCAAGCCACCTCGTGGCGTAACAACTCAGGCCCTTGGCCTCATAATCATGAATCAATACAATACTGCTGCGGCGTGTAACCCGACCCCATAATAACCTCATAACACAGGCCCTCGGCCTCACTCAGTCAGAAATCTCTCAAAGCCACTCGGGCACAGTAGAATATGATGCTCAGCCCAAAATATCATTTAAGATGTCAAAACAGAGTAAATATGGCTGAGTTATGAAAACAGTAGAATACAGCATGACTGAGTACAAATATGAAGTCAAAATAGTGAGGAATAGTAGTAACAATCCCCTAAGGGTCCAAAACAGTTGGCACGAGGCCCAAATATGGCATTCAGCCCAAAACATGATGATAGCAAACAACTTTCAGTCAAATACGCAGTTTAATAGTCATACGGGACAGACTAAGTCACAATCCCCAATGGTACACGACGCCACGCTCGTCATCTAGCGTGTGCGTTACCTCAAAGTAGCACAACGATGTGAAATTCGGGGTTTCATACCCTCAGGACAACATTTACAATCATTACTTACCTCTATCCGGTCCAAACTCTAGCCCGCGATGCCTTTGCCTCTCGAATCGACCTCCGGATGCTCCAAATCTAACAAAAATCAGTACATAACCATCAAAATACACTAAGGGAACAAAGCCCACTCGAAAGTAATCAAATTACAGCACAAATCCCAAAATTTACCAAACCCGACCCCCGGGCCCACGTCTCGAAATCCGACAAAATTTAATCAATGAAATCCTTATTCCCCCACGAGTTCATTCATATCAGAAGTACCAAAATCCGACAACAAATGACCCCTCAAACCCTTAATCAAAGGTCTCCAATCTCAAGCCCTAGTTCCTCAATATTTACCCACAAATTTCCATAAATTTCAAGCCTAATCAATGAAATAACACCATAGGAACGAGTTTTATGTTCAAAAATCTTACCTCAATGAAGTTCCCTTGGATTCCCTCTTCAAAATCCCCCAAAAAGCTCCAAAATCGATTTAAAAATGGTGAAGAAAGGCTGACTACAACGCACCTGCGGTCCCTACAACGCACCTGCGGTACCGCATCTACGGCCAAAGCACCGCATCTGCGGTTTTCACTTAAAAGCCCACTTCCACATCTGCGACCAAATGCCCGCACCTGCGCTATCGCAGGTGCGCTCCAATAGCCGCTTCTGCGGTTCCAGCTAACCTCCCTCTTGGCCGCATCTGCGGCTTGCCTTCCGCTTCTGCGGGCATTGCACCTGCGGCCTCCCAACCGTAGGTGCGGTTATGACAACAACAATAAACTTCAACTGCCAAACTCAACTCCAAAATCTCCCGTCAACCATCCAAAAATACCCGGAGGCCCCCGGGACCTCAACCAAAAGCACGAACTAGTCATATACCACTATCCAAACTTATACCAATCTTCAAAATACCTCAAACAACATCGAATCAAACAAATAACATCGGATTCAAGCCTAAGGTTCCAAAAATCATCCGAATTCCGTTTTTGATCAAAAAGTCTATCAAACTACGTTCGAATGACCTGAAAGTTTGCACACACATCCCAAATGACACAACGGACCTAGTGCAACTCCCGGAATTCCATTCCGATCCTTATATCAAAATCTCACCTATCAATCGGAAAACGCCAAAATTTCAATTTCGCCAATTCAAGCCTAAACCTACTACGGACCTCCAAAACATATTCCGATCACGCTCCTAAGTCCCAAATCACCTCCCGAAGCTATCCGAACCATCGGAACTCACATCCGAGCCCTTTTTCACATAAGTCAATATCCGGTTGACTTTTCCAACTTAAGCTTACTCAAAAGAGACTAAGTGTCTCAAACCTTACCAAAACCTTCCTGGAGGCCAAACTGCTCATTCCCGATTTAAAATACCTATTGATGTTGATGGAAATTTTAGTTGCAATATTAGCAAACAAAGTTCATTGGCATCGTTGATTCGAGATGCAAAACTAATAGTATGGGACGAAATTTCAATGGCAGAAAAAGAATTGATTGAAGCACTAGATTTGCTCCTTAGAGATTTAATGGAAACAACTATGTTGTTCGGCGGAAAGGTTGTTGTATTCAGTGGCGATTTTAGACAAACTCTTCCCGTTGTCCGTGGTGGACAAAGGGAAGATTTTGTTCGTAAAAGCTTACTTTGTTCTGAAATTTGGCATCAACTTGAAAAATTACAATTGTCTGAAAATATGCGTGCGAAAACAGACCCAGCTTTTTGTGAATATTTAATGAGAATTAGTAATGGAAAAGAAAGAAAAAATGATAAGAGCAAAATAGAAATTTCCCGTTCTCTGATCATACCTTTCACCACTAAAAAAGATTCCTTGAATCATCTATTTAAAGTTACTTGTCCTGATTTATATTTAACTCATTCAAATATTTCTTTTATTACTTCTCGTGCAATTCTAGCTACAAAGAATGACTTCGTTGATAAAATAAATGACATGCTAATTTCTCAATTCTCGACTGATGAAAAAGTCTATTTAGCTACTGATGAAACAATTGATCCAAAAGATCAAAGTGAATATGAAGATTTTTTGCACTTAAATCCTCCTGGTTTACCTCCCTATAAATTGTGTCTAAAGAAAAATTGTCCAATTATATTACTAAGAAATTTGAATCCCTACGAAGGTTTGTGCAATGGAACACGATTAATATGTAATGATTTCAAACCTCATGTTATTAGTGCTACAATATTCTGTGGAGATTTTAAAAATACACATGTATTCATTCCGCGGATACCACTATTAACATCAGAAGACAAAAAACTACCCCTTCAATTTAAAAGAACACAATTTCCAATACGGTTATGTTTCGCCATGACTATAAATAAAGCTCAAGGCCAAACATAAGATTTTGTTGGTATTTATTTGCGAGAACCTGTATTTTCTCATGGCCATTTATACGTTGCTTTATCAAGAGCTAAAGGTTCTAACTGTGTCAAGGTATTAATTAGACCAACTATAGCTGATGATGATGATGATCACTCTACATATAATGTAGTTTATGATGAAATTATTGAAAAAACTCTTTCTTTAACTTAGACCTTCATTCCTGACAGTAAGTTTGACGTACAACTTGTTCATTTTTTGTATTCTTCCATTTTGTATTATAGTCATTCTGGCAATGTTACATATATTCATTATGATATTATGATGTGTTACACCAGTATAACATCTAGATGGCAGAAAGGTACAACATCAATGCGATTACTCCAGAAACAGAAGAATGGACCTGTAAGGTTCAAGTAGTTGATAAAGGCAGACCTAGAGACAACAGAGAGAAAACGAAAAAGTATCAACTGATGGTTTTACAAGATGAAAGAGGTGATCTTTAAAGGATTCATAAGTTTGCCAATAGTAATTAAATTAATATTATCCTAATTGTGTCTATTTTATTACAGGAAAATCAAGTCGACTGCATTATATTCAATGCGGAGAGATTGCATTTTGAAGATCTGTTTCGCCCTTTCCATACTTACTTGGTGTCAGTTGCACAAGTCAAAGAATCAAACTATATGTATGGAAATCCACTTAACAGATTTACATGGACAACTGATAGGTGTACCATTGTTGAGCCAATAGAAACTGTTAATCCTCCAGAAGATCCACTACCGCCGCCAACGCGCCTAAATCTTACACCATTTGGCAACTTTGAATATCAACCCGAGGGATCTGAATTCGGTAATTGAATATTTAACTATCTTTGTTATTTGTTCACTTAAAATTCACATTTATTAGTATTATTATTGTTATTATTACTATTATTGTTTATAATAATTTTCATTATCTATTAATTTATTCGTCGTTCTTTTCAAATGGAAGATGTGCTTGCCATTGTGCTCAACGCCAGCCCCTCAACATATGCTTCAAATGGGAGGAGAATTCAATATTTTATCATCATGGATGATCAGTAAGTATACATAAACCTGTTTTATTGGGTCCAAATAGCAACTGATGATTCAAGTATGATATAATATCTTACTTTTCGTATGTTGTCTAGCAATAGCACACAATAAATGAAACTGAGATTCAAGTTGAGGTTGTACCCTTTAAAAGGATACTTTCCACGCTTCAATTCACCTTTGGTTTTGCTGTAGCTTATGATCTTTCAAAGCATACTTAGGTCCAGTAAGCATTACCGGAATTATTATGGTTTAACTTTTTACTAAAAACATTTATAGATCACTATAATATTTGATCATATCTTTAAATATATTCCCAACAATGCAAAGTTTCTCTCTTATTGTTTCTCTTGCTATAAGAATATAAGTAAAATTAGAGCTAATATCATATTGTGCTTTTGATTTTGATTTCTCTCAATTTTTTTGCATCTAATTTATGTTTTTTCAAGATTGACTTCAAACTTTCAACTTATTCTTTATTTATAAGCATAATTTTCGGGATAGCTGCATGGAGTGACGATGTGTGGTTGCTAAAAGTACATACCAATCCAAGAGTCTAAAAAACATATCACTGCCTCTTAAGATTTTAAAAATCTTTAGTTGTACTTCAATAAAGTTAGAAGCAATGATCCAGAAAAGAAAATTTTAGTTATGGCAAGACAACAAATTAGGAAGAAGCTATTAAAAGCTAACTTAAAAATATGTTTCGTTATTTGCTGTTACATGCGCCAAAGAATTAGATTGTTGCTAAGAATTATTCAGATAAATACATAATGCCTTGAAATGTAAAAATATAGCATAACCAAGTTTGTAGTTGCTTTTTTTTTAACAATGACTTTCTAATTTATCTGTAGTTGTTCTTCATATATTTGAAAGAAACAAAGTATGACATCTACAACCTCGATGGAAGGAAAAAATAATTATCATGTTTAGTTGTTAGATTTAAAATCAAATTATATTTGAAAAATATTTTTTCATCTTTTATTTCATATAAGCTTGAAGTTTGAAGTGAATCCATGTCTCAAAGAAAATTATTTTTTCATAACGGAATGGATATTTGTTCTTGTGGATTTCAAGTTGAACTGAAAGTATCATGGATACCAAGAAATTACGGTCGGGTGTTTTAGTATTGACCCGTTTGACAAGTATGAGCAACATTTAATTGGATATTTATTACACCTCATATTTCTGTATACACACGCGCAATATTTATTTGTACTGATTTCAGCTTTTGTGTTAAAATAAAATATAAGAATTAGAGTTGGAGGGCCAAAATGGAACAAGGTTGAGATCGAGTGTCAAAATAAAACATGAAGCCAAGTTAAATGGGTTGTATATGTGTTTGACCTATAGTTAATGTTGTGTTTTGTTTGTTCATCGGGAAGAGGTATGGATAGACAAACGGTTGTACGTGCCTAGTTGGATATCACGAACCTAGGTAGTGGTAGCCCGGGTCAGCACGGGCCCAATATTGTAAAAGTTGAAGCAATTATTTTTTTTGTTAATTTTGCGTTGATACTACAGTGCAAAGAATAAAATTGATCCATATAAGTTGGTATCAATTTAGATAGACAATATCGCACAATATCGTATGCTAATTGCTCGATTATTACATACATTTTGGAGCAAAATATTCATCATGATGTTGCATTATGGCGAATATACATTCTTTATATCCATTGCGCATTATGATATTAGATGCTTAAGTGTAAAGATGATAGTATCTACATAGTTTTACATGTAAAGGAACTACCATGCCGATAGTCTTTATATGTTAAATAACTACCTCTGCCCAAACTATCTCCATTGTTACTCTGCAAAGTTTCATTGTCATTACATTCCACTTTGTAGAGACTTCCCCTCAATCTCAAGTTTTTGGGTTCAACTTTGGCAGAAAAGATTTCGTCTATACAAAACGAGTGAGCTAATATTAAATCATCGTAGAAATATGTCAAATGAAACTTTAGCATGGTGTGAAACTGATAATAGGTGAATTTGATTATAATCACACCTTAAATAATCACTTTCTTGTGTAGTTTTAATGCTAAAAGTGATGACAAAATGCTCTTATTAGTGTCTTTCATGATTTGTAGGTGATATATGTATAAAGACGGCTAAGGAGCAGTTTTGGAGTCAAAAGTGATGAAAAAGAGGCCAACTGTGAAATTTCCTAAGTGACCCGTGCAAAAACAGGTCGAAGATTCAGAGAACTGGATCCACCGCGGTTCCACCGCGACCGCGGTGGGAAGCAGCTGCAGAAGATTGAGATTCCGCGAGGGTGTTTGGCCGCGGTTCTACCGCGACCGCGGCAGAACCGCGGCAGGCACAGTAAACTTCAGGGACCAAAGTGTCAATTACGGGATTTTTAGACCTAAACCCTATTTAAAACATTAGACTTCGCCCAAGAGAGGCATGTATTGATTTTTTAGGTTTCTTAGCAAGGAAAAAGATTGTGAGAAAATACTCTAAACATCTTTCTTCTTTTCTTTTGATTTTATGATGAATTCAAGCTTAGTTTATTTTCCCATAGCCATGAGTAGCTAAATTCCTTGTCTAAGGCGTTGATGGAACCTATTGGGTGATGAACTTCTTGTTTATGTGAATACAAATTGCTATGAAAGAACTAAATTCCTGAAAGATGTTGAAGTCTTCATTAGAGTCTTAGGTCTTTATCCCGTATCTCTTCTTCAAAATGGACTGAACTTTAAATGAAAAGATCAGACAAATGTACCAAATTTATTAATCAAAGTAGAAAATAAAACAAATTAATCACTTTTTGTATACAAGAAGCAGAAATAACTTGAATGCAGTGAATTATGTCCCATTTTTTAAACAAAAATGAGACAAGTCCAAGTAGTTACAATCACAAATTGCAGAAGTTGGAGCAAAATTCTTAAGGTTAAAATGTTACTGTCCCATGTAGTGAAATATTAATACAAATTCCATCTAAATAAAGCAATCCATACTTTGAATCTTTTCGAAGCAATCACCTTACAGAAGCTCCATACATCAGTCAACTAACTTGTAATTTTTTGGTAATGTTCCATGCAAACGTACCATACAAATACAGATACCTATAAGCACAATTGAGACTACTACTTTCCCGGATGATTGTGTTGGAAATTCATGAAAATTTAGCAAATGATACACAATTATATATAGCTAGCAATAAGGAGCTTCTATGAGAACAAAGAGAACCAAGAATATATTTCAAGTATCTGAAATTCTCTATACCGCATTTAAATTTTCAAGTCCCACAACAGATTTGGGTAATATCAGTTTATTTCATTCGTAAAAAAAAAATGAAAGACAGAAAATCCACATAGTTACAACAACAACTCGTCAAAGTTTTTCTCTATAATTTTAATCTCTCATGCTGCGTGGTGAAAAAGGAGAAAGGAAAAAGGTGTAAAGAATTACAGATGCTAACCGTGTCAAACATTCGGCTCTCCGCTGTTGACAATATGATATACATGCATTCGTAATTTTCTATTTTCTCTGTTACCTCTGGAGGATGCATAAGAACCCAAAGACACAATCCAATTCATTGAAGAATTTTGTCATACACCTCGGCGACAAAGAATTTTTTATTTAAGAAATCAGATTCAGGTCATGAAAATAGAGAAACGAAAGTGGCCGTTAGCTTCAACACAAATACCAACTATATGGAAATATACAATACTGAAAATCTATTAGAAGTACATATACATACCTTTATTCTACAATAACAAAGTCCTGCAAAAACAAAGAAGCAGAACCCTCAAATTCAACAATAGGATAAATTCCTAAGCCTTAGTGACTCGAGTAGCAAAGAGGCTTTGCATGTCATCAAAGACGAATAGTGTAAAAGAAAAAGCTTACTTCAAATTATCAAGAGAGACATGTCCATTGAGCGTACCATTCTTGACCCCTTCTTGACCTTATTCTCTACATAATGCTCTTTCCTTAATTAACTCTGAAACTGAACAAATATCAATTTAGTTATACACAACAGCAGAAAAACTTAAAAAATCTAACTGAATTGAAATTAAAGTAAAATAAAACCTGAATTAAGCACAAAAAAAAGATACCTAGTTCTGTATTATTAGTAAAATTCATTGAAAATCAGAGGCATCAGCGAGGAAGATCAAGAGAGAAGAAAGCTGACTATGAAGAAGAATAGCGAAATAAGAATGAGTTTATGCGGTGGGTTCAGTAAAAAAAAAGCCACGTAGAGTTTACACTAAAATGACTCAAATATCCTTAACTTTACTTTTATTGCCATGAAGTAGCCAGGTCGAAACTCTGGCTCTTCTAATATATAGATGGTTATGGCCTGTGCTGGAAATTGTCATCATTTCAGAAGTAAAAGAACCTAACAGAACACCAAGAGCACAGATATGACCTGAAGCATAGAGAATGTATATATAAGATGACCACTTCCACCAGGAGTATTAACATCAGACAACTTATTAGTGAGATTCATCCTCATAAATGCAATATTCCAAATAGACCGGATACATATTACTTAAACATATCATCAAGTTTCAACTGTTGTGCTACTATCTTATCATATTTCTCTCATATTACTTTATCAGTGAGGTAGCTTCTAAAATAAGACATACTTGTACGATCAAAATACAATAAAGATAAACTTAAATGAGCCTTTACACAACAAAAAAAGTTTATGAATACTATCCAAGGTATAAAGTTCTCGATTGACTAAAGTGACGTGTAAGACGGCTATTTCGAATAGATCTTACACACAATTTTACTTCCATATATAAAGAACACATTCAAACAGGATATAGTTTGTGCTTGTATTGGCAAAATATAAAAACTAATTCTTTAACTTAAACAACAAATTGATAAACTCTAAAATGTATAGTATTCCAATGATCCTTTACAGAAGCACTTGATGCATCTTCAAGGGTTGATTATCTTTCTCTTTTAAGCTTCTTACTGCCATTATGAAACATTTACCCTGTTTGCTTCATGTTGCTCTGGAAAATAGGAGATTGAAGATGATATCATTTGCTTGGGTCAAAG